ACAATGAAACATAACCAGAATACAATAGATTCCGGTGCACGAAGAAGGGCCCTAAAGGTGGGACAAGTGTAAAGGAATTGTTTGAGGAAGAAAGAAACAGGAAGGAAGAAAAGAAAGAAGGAAGAAGGAAGGAAGGAAGGATGAATGGATGAAAGAAAGGGAAGGAGCTAGGAAGAATGAGAAGACTCCAAAAAGAGCAGGAAGAAGACGAAAATTAGGAAGAGAATACAAAATAGAAAGAAAAGATAGACAGAAAGATGAAAGACAGAAAAAATTGAAAACAGAAAAAAGGGAATGAGACAAAAGCATATTTTATTTACCTTTTTGTCAATCAGCTGCATGATTCTTAAGTAAGGAGAGGGATCAAGCCTCTCAGCACGACTTGTTGGCTTCTTTTGCTGTATTAAGTTATGTTTATCATTTAAAAGTAAAGCTACATGTAGCTTAAAACACCTTGATGCTAATGCAGGTTTTTTGCTGCAAATGAGTGTATTGGGACTAGTGTATGGGTGTTACAAATGGTAGAATCACAATTATTAAAGCATGAGGTGGATGAATACATGTAGGTATTTTTCAATAGAGAATACACTACATGTACATACAGTACATACCTCAACTGAAGGTGGGTGATACTGTACTTGAATAGGATACAATCTCCCAGGAACCTTAAGAAGAATAGGTAACAATATTTCACTAACTTAAAGATTGCGTAATATTGAATGTTAGTATAAACATATTAATGGCCTATCACTCATACTGCGCTGTGATTGGCTACTCTACTAATGGTCTAATTTGTGATAGACCGCTTGCGGGAAAATCAATCTCATTAATAAATTATTTTAAGAATATTTCAAATTGTTTTCATTATTTGACCGATTAGTATGTTTATACTATATCTTGGCCTCGTGGACTACGAGCTAATAGCCCATTCGGCCTCGCAGACTCGGCCTCATGGGCTATTAGCTCGTAGTCCACTCGACCTCGAGGTCTAATTATTAATTAGAAAGGTCTTTTAAATTTACCAGCAGACATGACTTTTGATATTGTTGCAAAGTTGAGTACAATGTCAAGTCAAGCAAAGAATTGAACAATTCTTTATTCGATGGGACCATTCAATGTGCAATTTGTCACACCTGAGTTTTACTAGCTATAATAACTAGGTATGTTTGAGTATAGGTTTCTAGCTACCTGAACAACTGGTGCACCATCAAAGTACCCAGCAAACAAGCTAGAAAAAAAAAATAAGAAAAATAGTAAATCAATAAAAATGCCATTCAACTGAGTTAAATGATGCAATTTTGGGCTACATGTGTAATCAATAACATTACTTTTTCACCCTCAGAAGGCTGGAAATATAAAGCTAGTTGAGTCACTAAAAGTGTTTCATACTTGATATTAATKGTTGCTGACATAAGGATAACTTTCAAGTCAGCTCGGCCTTCAATCAAACAACGCAACATTCCCAGCAGAAARTCACCATGAAGATGGCGTTCGTGAACCTCATCCACTACAACTACATTGTACYGAGACAGGTCAGGGTCTGAAGACAGTTGTCTTAGTAATAAACCTGAAAATTATAAAGAAAAATGTTATAGAAAAATATTCACTTTTGATAAAATTGATGCTCACATGCCAGGGCTTTCAGAGAAGCAAGAGTGGCAGAGTGGCAAGAGCACCGATTTGTCATGGCTGTTTTTTTTGGGGGGGGTTTGATTCCCAAGCAGGACGTCACTTTGGCATGTTCCTTCTCTCTCACCTTCCTTTGAGGTTTTCTATAAAATGTATTCTACAATTTGTATCTTTGAATTAATTTCTACCTTCAGTGAGAAAAAGAATCCTTGTTGCCTTTGTCTTGCTTGCCTCAAAGCGAATCTACAATATGATGTATACAGTATACAGTATTTGATCATGTTACTTGTATTTGAATTTTCATTAAAATTGACARTGGTTATTTATAGTTTATTCATTTACCTGATATGCAACATCMGATCCATACTCTTTCAGTGTCTCATAACCAACTCTCTTGGCTAAAGATATACAAGCGATTCTTCTGGGYTGAGTGCAAGCAATCTTTGTAAACCCAGCATTTAACAAATACTGAGGAACCTATCAGAGGGAGAGGGAGATTAAAAAAGAAAATTCTGATTGTCACATTTTATTATTAGAATTATTAATCATCAATTAATCATCAACTATTTGATTATCAATTATATGGCCATCACCAGGCTATCTATCAATTGGACCTGGCTTAGGTTTCTCAATATAAAATTTTWACTGTTATWGTATATTGTCATYAATACCTGTGTCGACTTTCCACAACCTGTGTCACCTGCAATGATGACGACTTGATTGCACCTGACTGCATCRASAATGTGCTCCYTGAAGTGGCTTATGGGAAGGTTRGCCTGATCAGTCTTTAGCTTGACAATTTTGTTAAACTACAAGTACAAT